AGAGTTGTGTTCAGTGGTGTCACTGCAATCCCACCCTGTCTTCCCAGTATTTGGAGACTGTGTGTTTCCTCATTTCAGTTCTATGGCTCAAGGAGGCACCTATTTGATTGCTAGTGTGCTTTTTGGAACAATGAAGCATGATTGAAAATTTTCCACTACAATCTTTTCTAAGATGTAATAATTATGATAACATTTTTTCCTTAATCCAGGCAACAAAAGAAATAATATGGTGTTAGGCAATGGGCATCTCATTCTTTTCAGCTTGGGCAAGGGAAGATGACAAAGCAGACTGATTTATTACTGTGGTGTCTGAAAGCCTGCAAACCTACTCTCTCCTTAATTGCAAAATATTCTTTTAGGAAGAGGGAAGCTGAGAACAAAAAACATTATAAATAACTCTGGGCTTACAATTCATCTGTCAAGTATTTCCTTGTGCAGTGACCATTTGGACTGTATTGCTGCTAATGAGCTGACTTTTCTTCCTCTTGGAGTTTGTGTGAACTCACTGATTTGGTCATTTCAAATTATTGGATTGAAGAAGCATGAAGATACATTTTTTTACTTGGGCTTCTCTACCAGTTCCTTTCCTTACTGCTGTGCATTACAGCTGATGCTCTGTGGCCCTTGATCTGTCAGACTTGTATGCCTTGGGATGCTGAAATATTTCTTCTTTGGCCCCTCTGCAGGAAGTTAAGGAAGTCCTTAACTAAACTAAGCAGGAGGGACAGATCTCAGGAGTGGGGGAATTCATATTTCCCTCCAGAGTATCTGCCTCTCATCATGTTTGGTCTCCTAGGGAGCAAATATCTGGCTTCTACTAGCCTGTAATTCCTACTGCCTTGCTCAGGAGTTTTCTGTAAGAATGACAGGTTCTGGCGCAAGCACCAGCTATCAAACACTAGCCTAGGTGCTAGCTCTTGTTCCACAACACCAAACCTCAGGTATAACCCTACCTGTTATTGTGGAACTATCTTACAAGATGCCCAGGTAAAGAACGACATCTTCATGCTAAGAATGCAAGTCTCTCCAAAACAAAAGTATTCTGATTAGAAACTGAATTGATATACTGAGTGCGCGAGATGCAAAATGGTAATAGAGACTCAGGCTAGTTTTAAAATGTAAGGGATATAGCCTTTATAAACTGTTTTCTACGTTTTTTTCCCCATGTTTCAGGTATTTGGCCCTCAAAACAATTTAAGCTAACATGTCACATTTATAAACATCCACAAGATGGGAAATGATGTGCTGGCTCTTGTTTATTTGGGGAAATCTTCTCATTGTTCTCGAGAAGATGTTTGTTTTTCTTTTTGCAGCAGTGTTCTGTGCAAACAAGTTTTCTTCTTTAGAAAGTGCCAACCCTGTAGCACCTTGGACCTGAGCACAGTCCTTCTGATGGCATTAAGGGCAAAGGTCTCTCGGGCTTCAGTGGAAACATGCTTGTTGGATGCTGTCCTCACTGCACTGATGTCAGTGATAAGATTTACAGTAACTTAGATGAAGTCAGCTTTTCATCGCTGACTTTAGGTCTGTTTTAAATAGATGAGGATTAGAACAATTAAGGCTGGCCAGCATTTTGCTCTTTGAAGAATTTATGATGGCAGCAGTCTCTGAGGTCTTACAAGATCTCTGTGGATGACACATTAAGGACCTATCTCTTAGAAGAAAATAATTTCTGTTAGATTGTGATCAATGTCTTGTGTCATATTTCATTAGAGTAAATACTTCAGTCTCATTTGAATCTCTTAGCAGGAACTTAAGTCCAGGAATAGGCTGAGATAAATGCAATTTAGAGCAGTGTGAATTACTAGTTTGGTTTGGAGTACTAAATATGTGAATAGTAAGGTAGGAATAACAAACTCCCCATGCAGTGAGAATCTCTTCAGTGTGTTTTTTCAAACTATCAGTTCTAGCAACGTGATTGTATGTAATACTACCTTCCTTTGTCTTCTCAAACATCTGAAAAGCTGCTTTCTAGTCTTATTTGTCTCCAATGGGAGATTTCATAAGAAGTAACTGAGAGGGACTTGAAAGAAACAAGCTACCTTCAAGTTAACCTATGCTACTTATGAACTGGGAAGATTCCCGTTTTTTTTTTTCTAATAGAACAGTCATGTCAAAAATCTAGAGGACCGATGTTGATGGGATGTGGAGCTTAACCCACTCAGGGTTCATAAAATCAACTAGACAATTGGTTCTGCTGCTCCTCACACCTTCTCCCTTGTGCTGGTGCAGCTTTTTAAAGCAAGATCTATTATTACTCCTCAGCTAGGAAAATTTCATTTTCATACATTCATTCACCACTGACTGTTCTGGATGTGAATTATAGCATGATTCAGAATGAATTCAGCACGTAAGCTGTTAAGGTACGTTAGTTTTAAAGGGAAATCTGAATGCTGAGCAGCTTTTAACAGTAAAATAATGTCAGAGATATGTTGAGGAAGAAAACACTCATTGCAGAAAGGGGTGCAGAGATGGGTGAAAGAAGCTCTTAGATTGCTTCACAGTGCCAAAAAGGAAATACTCTTCAATCAGCAACTGTGGCTTGTTGACAAATGGATAACATCTGCATTGCTTATGAAGGAGCTTACTTGCTCAGTCATTTTCCTGTGATGTAATTAACCATTTTGTTTGACGTTCATAAAAACATTTTTGATGGGCTAGAATGTCTTAATTCTCTGACATACCAAACTCCTCAAGAGCTGACCTGACCTTTACCCAGCCTAGAGTTCTGGAAAATCCTAATGCAAAAATCTTCTGTACCAGCAGAGTGAGAGGAAACTTGAGTTATATTAAGGTACAAAAAAAGGCTCACACTCAGGAGTACTGCTTGGCCACTGCCCTTTAAGGTGCACAAGGCTAACCCTACATTCGAAGTGGTATTATCAGGAACCAGTTTCAGAAAAAAAAGGTTGCAAAAAGTTAGGTGAGCACCATTTTCTTTGTCTGTGTGAAAAAACAACACCTTGTGTCTTTTGCCTTAGGATTCAGAATATCCTGCAACTAGTCCTTTGTATGGGAACCAATAAAATAATCTTCAGTGAAGGCTATGACTAGAAGGCAGCTGAAATTATGAATATGGAATCCATCCACTTTCAGATATGCTCTCAAATAAAATAGTTATGAAGAAAATAATTTAATATCATACTTGAGGGAGTGAACAATTATGCCTACATCACTCTGGGCAACTAGCTGCATTTTGCCAGTGGGATCAGCCCAATATCCTGACCAGTTTTTTTCCAGCTACAGGGAGGTTCCCTTACCTTTTCTAATTGAGACAACCAGGTGTCATACTTGATCATTAGTTATTGGTGAGAGAGAAGAGATGCTGGCTGGTCCATTGCCAGTTTGCATGGTGAGAAGCCATAGCTATGTTCGCCCCGTGCCTTCTATAAGCAGGGACAAGGAAGGGAGTATGAATCAGGAAAGCCCAAGGAGAAGGAGTAACTAGAAAAGAATTTATCTGATGAGGTCAGTATGTCAATACTTCTATTTGATGACACAAAGAGAATAAAATAACATGTTATAACGTGAAAATATGTGATTTGCACAGCTCATCCTTCTGCTTTGCACAGAAAATAGGGAAATTTCTTAGGATATTGAAAGAAGGCTCCATAGCACTAAGCTGTCTTTGGCAAGAGCCCTGACCCTCCACTCAATGATTGAGGATTACTGCAATGGTTAATTAAGTTGCCTTGTGCAAACAAGCAGCAGGAGTGATGATGTCTGGTTTTTAGTGGATTTGAGTTTTGGGATTGGATTCTCTGATGTCTAATTATGCACAGAAGCAATCCTGAAAGTTCATCCAGTTAAGGTCTTTGTAACTTCTCTCTCCTTCCCTGCCAAAATTTCTCTACTATGTCATGAAAGCTTAGTTTACTTAAGTTCTGATGAGAATGTGTACCGCTACCCATAGACTTTCAGAAAACATCTAGAAAATACTGTGGAAGTAGCCAACACTCAAAAATCTCCAGGGGAACAGAGAATAGTCAAGGCAGTTTCATCACATGATTGAGTTTATTTACTAAGGAAACTGGGCTGGATGCTGCCAAACAGATGCAGAACTGGATTTCAGTAACATTCTATTCTCAGGTCATCCAAATAAAGCAATCATATTTTCACAGCAAACTAGCTGCACAGATTGAAGATTCTCCCACTGCCCCTGGCAGCTACAGACCTGTAGCAAAGGCAGTGAGGAAAAGACATTCAGCCAACCAGAACCTATTGAAATGTATTAGCATTAAGGGGATGGAACTAAAAATACTTAAAGAAGAACAGAAATGCAGAAATGCTGCTGCCATTCTCAAAGGGAGTTGAGAATTACAGTTGCTGCTTGTGCTGTCCTTCATTAGTCCTTCACAGTCTCCTCTGGCCACCTGGCAGCAACCCTGTAGACAGAAGATGTCCAGCGGGCATGGAGGGAGTCGTTGAAAGCATGGCTCCTTCCTACTCCCCCAGTGAGCCTTGCAAACCTGTTCACTTTTCTCCTCTGGTGCCAGTTTTCTAATATGACCTTTCCTTCACTGACATGTGAAGAAGACAGTGCATATGCATACCAAACAGGAACAGGAGTCCTAGGCACTGTGCAAATGTAAACCACAGGGGTACACATAGGATGCGTTTAAAAACAAAGTGAGAATAGTGTTCTCCCTTTGCAACCGTTTATCAGCAATAAGTTGTACAGCCTGAATGCTGTAAAAGCCCATGCCATGCATTTCTCTGCAAATGGGACCAAGGGAAAGAGGCTCAGTCCTTGCGCTCCAGTCTAGGGCTGCCATTAAAGTAAAGGAATGATGAGGACTGTAATTTTGGAGCAGTGAAAGATATCGGTGGCTTATCTAAGCCATTTACCGATGAGATTTGATGTCTCTCATTTACGTTAACACACAGAACAGACACTGGGCATACTTGATGTTTATTTTTGAGAAGCAAAACACTATAATTAACAAAGGAATAGGAAACATATGTAGCAATCAACATATAGAAAAAAGTTTTCCATTTTATTTTTTTTTTACACTTGTTCCGTTGTGTGCTGATGTTTCTACACAGTAAGTGCACATAAATAACTACAGGACACATCTCTATAGAAATCATGTGGTGGACCCACCTTGATGACAGTTAATGACCAGTATTTAGAAGTGGATTGGATTCCTCTTGTTAAGTTTTCTGCAGAAATATGAAGAGCGGGGGAACTGCATACATACAGTTTCAAAAAGGAATCTGGACTATAATAAAACACTCATCAGTTCAATGGCTGCTACATACATAGTTTCATATAAGTTATGACATTATGCCATATAAGATAACATAATGTGCCTGAGGAGCCCCACCAGTGGCTTGCCGATGCTGGAGGCCAGGCAAAGCTTTTCCACTGAAAGAATTCAGGATAATCTCCATAAGTCTTCTCCTGCACTACACCCTGAAAGCAAGGCTTTCAAAGCAGAAAAGAGGACAAAACTTGAGGGCCGTGCTTTTCAACGTCCAAACTGCAGGCAGTTCTTCCCTGTTGCAGCAGTCAAACTGCGCGCTCAGACCCCCGGGCACGAAGGTGCTCCGTTAGGATGCTCCACAAGGGCCGGCCGCGTCCCGCCAAGCTCAGGTCCGCTTCGCAGCGCTGCAAGCAGAGAGCGGGTGCTCAGCGCTGCGGCCCCGGCCGCCACGGCTCTGGAAGCAGGCGGGGCCCCGCGTTAGATACCTGCTGAGGAACCTGGCGACGAGCAGCTTCACCCACGGTACCGAAGGGCTGAGGCACAGCGTGTGGCCCTGCTTCGTCGTGGCTCTGCGGGGCGAGCGGAGTCAGGCAGGGTCGGGGGAGAGTGGGTCGAGGATAGGGAGAACTCACATGACTTCTGGTACGGCGCAGTGCGGCCCCTCGGGGATGAGCTCCACCTGGACCAAGTGTCGCGGCGGGATGCGCTCGGCTACGGCCCGCACGCAGCGGCAGCGTAGCTCTCCGGCCGGCGGCGCACCTGCGGCGGGGAGGGCGGCTCAGCCTGGCTGCGGGACCCTGCGCCGCGCCCCCCGCCCGTATCCCCGCCTGTGTCCGCGTCCCATCCCCCCGTGCTCTCACCCCAGCAGGACGCGACGACGGCGGATAAGAGCAGCGGGAGGAGGAGACGTGCGCTCATGGCTGGGGCTGTCGGTTGGTCACTCCGGGCGCTGGCTGTGCCGCTCCGCTGTCCCCATTGCTTTTATTCTCTCGGTACCGTAGCTGTGTGGGGATTTCCCGGGTGCGGAGTGGGGCCGGGGCGGGGGGGTTGCTCTGCATTCTCCACCCGCTTTTGCCGTTCTCGGGCAGGTAGGGGTCGGGAGCGCTCGGCACTCGTTCCACCTCGTAGTGCTACTGGACGCTACGGGGCCACCCGGCCCTTCCCTAGCCCTCACAGCATTTGCTTTGCCTGCAAAGAGGAGATGCTCACCCTTCCGTATCTCAACTGCAAGCTTTCTGCTTCACTTCTGTGTACAGGACTGTCTGTATTTGTAACAGTAAACATTTTCCAGTCAATGCATTTTGTGACAAAAAATAATAAGAGTTTTCTGTGAGTCTTTAAAGAAAATTAGACGGAATCTAGATTTATGTTTACGTTGATTTACTTCAGGTATAGTAAAAACACTTTCATTTTTAATTAGCCTTGATTTGCAGGGTTTTTTTTGTTTGTTTGTTTTTGCTTTTGGGGTGGGAGTGCAGCCGGTCCTTATTCTTTTTTACAGGTATTTGTTAACATCAGTGCAGTTCAGCAAAACAAAGTGAGGCTGCCATGGGTTTTGTTCCTCACCTTGCAGTATTTTTTATTCCACCTGTTGCTTTCATTTAGAATGCATTAATGGCTGTGCAAGAATTAAAGATTTGGAAGTCTGCTTTTGGATCTCCTTCCCCTTGCAACTTTCTAATTTTTATGTAATAAATATTCATTTGCTGTTGAACATATATCTGAAGCTTTAAGCACTAATGCAAAATCAGGTAGAAACTGATTTCAGTGAGATTTGTGGAAATCTGCTCATAAATCATTATTTGAATGACTTAAGATCAAACTTGCTACAGTGACCATTTTGGACTAGCTTGACTTGATTTTCAGCAGAAAATCGATATTGTTTCCTTATAAGAAGATTGTCAGAAGTGGCACAGAGCACAGAGTTAGCTTCCTGCAATTGAACTACACAGGGTATGTTAAATTTTTTTTATGTCACAAACCAAGCAATTGTTGTATTTCAATGACAGCTATAGGATGGAGTGGGAATTAACTTTGGGTAAAACTGTACTGGCAGGGGGACCAACATGGAAAGCAAAATTAAAATTGCGAGGATCACAGTACAATAATCCTAATAGAAGATGTAATGTCCAAAAATAAAAACTCAGCTCAGGACTCAGACCAGGTAAGATGTTGCAGGGGAACAATCCTAGTGAGAGCTAAATGAGATGAGTACCCAGTGGTACTCATGAGTAGCTGAGAAGCTCTCAGTCCTGAGTTTTGTCCTCTTAATGGATCAGGCAGTTCATCCAGCTCCTTGCTTAGTCTCTCATGGAAAACAAGCAGTTCAGAAAGATGGTGATTATCCCTAGCAGTCAGGAAACCCCCACGGCAGGGATATTTTAACTAGACGATCTTTGAGAACCCTTTCAACCCAAGCCATTCTATGATTCTATGAAGTAGCTTATGACTAATTTGCACCCCTTTTCAGTGGTCATTTAGTAATGTCATCCTTCAAGCTGTTGGCTTGTAGCTGAGTCTTAGAAGGAAATTACACAATCAAGCTGCCTTTCTGTCCTCCTCTGTCTTTTCCCCACTTCCCCAGTCTCATCCCTTCCGTAAAGTTTGTATCATGTCCCCAACTGCAGAAAGATCTGACTAAGAGGTGTAGGTCTAAGGGATATCAATCAAGTTAAGACACGTTTGTGTTGAGTCAGTGATGGATGGAGGAAGAGTAAGCCAAAGCAGCCCTGCCTCAGGAGAGAATCTGCAGCATCAGCTGTGCTCTCCACCTTGGCAGCTGGCCAGTCCAGATGTTCTTACCTGGAGCCAGCTTGTTACTTGGAATTAGCTACCTCCTGCACTGTCTCTTGTCCAGCTGTTCAGGTTGGATTAGAAATTGAAAAGAGTTGGGGAAATGTGGCATGGCTTATTCAGACAAGAGGAGAAACTGAGATGTTACAAGAGCAGCAGTGTGGACATGAAGAGGACCTGTAGTCTTCTAGAGGACTTAAAAGTTGTGTGGGGGTCTAGATGGTAATACATTTGGTAGACTGGAAGAAATGATGGCTTTAAATCCAGACTTCATACCTCCTATGAGTCATAAGATGTCATCTGTTTGTTTTTTTTCATTCAACTTACTAGTTTCAGTGAAAACAAATTCTTCCTTGATGTATATATGAAATTCAGCATAAATCTGATGTATCAGATTTTATCAGGAAACACTACTTCTCTGAAAGAGTGGTCAGGCACTGGAATGGGCTGCTGAGTGAGGTGTTCAAGGAACGTTTGGATTTTGTGTTGAGGGGCATGGTTTAGTGAGAACTATTTGTGATAGGTGGATGGTTGGACTGGGTGATCTTTTAGGTCTTTTCCAACCTTGGTATTTCTGTGATTCTGTGAACTATGGCTTCAGGCAAGGTGCTCATCCAGGCTGTTTTTGCCAGCTGACTCATTTAAGTAACAATAGTATCAATTGATCTCAGTAAATAGTGTTGTATAGGATTTTGGTTTTGTTTTAAGCCAGTAGAGTGGCAACTGAGGAGTTTGGAGCCTTGCAAAGGTAAAGATTATTTTCTCATAAACTGGAGAGATTGCTAAAGAAAACAATAAGGAACACAGCTGTTGAGTGTGGACAGTCTTAAATGTATTAATGGGGAATCAATGAGGGGAAAATTTAGAAACCTACTCTGGCATCCCTTGAGATCATAGGGTGGAACCACCATTTCCTCCATACTGCAATGCTATGAGGATTGCACTGTGAGCTTCTGATGTGTCTGCCCCAAGGAAGTGCCATGTTCTCTGTGGGGCGACACTAATGGGTGCAGACTTTATTTGCATATGTGCGTGCATTTAAGCCACCTTCATATACAGGAATCAAGGGCCCTTTTCTACCCTTGTGTACCTGTATGTGTCCATAACTAGTTTTCTTCTAAGCTCAGTCTTTGCAATGAACTGAGGTTTATGCTGTATTACCAGGAAGAAGATTTGCCCGGCTGTAGCACACTGAGGCAATATACAGTTAGGGTGATGCACAGGTTGGCCAGCATAGATCATTGACGCTTTCATCAGAAGGTCCAGCTCTGTTGAGTAAGAAATTGTCACAGTTATGTTACGTGTTTTCCTTGGACAGGACACATGAGTAAGGACAATTTACGTGACAGTGCTGAGTTTTATGTTTGGATGACTGTTCACAAAATCTGAGCTATCAAGCTCATTCCACAGTGATTACTGCTGGGGAAATTCCAGAAGTCCCCAGGGGTTCGAAACATGAGGCTATTTTGGATGTAGAACTGCAGTGTGTGAAATTTGGCAGTTGGCGCTCCCGGGGAGTCATGTGCTGAAATGTGCAGTAGTCAGAGGTCACGAACGTGCTGAGATGCAGTAGACAACACAAAGCTTGAATCCTCTGAGTCAGTATTCATGCAAAACACACCCTGTGCTTGTGAAGTGGGTATCTCTAGGAGTATTTCAGAAGCCAAGACCATCTGCATGAGCAGTGCTTTGTACTTTTAGATTTCCAGCTCACATTTAGCTACCTTCCATGTGAACATGGGTAGGCTCTTTTCAGTGCAGATAATAGCAGCAAAAGTACTGAACTGCAGATGACCTTTCTTTGATTCTACTTTTCTGTGCTGTTCCCCTCACTACCTTTGGCATACTTCCTTTTGAAAGTGTGGCAAAGACAGGGAAGAGAATCATGTCAGCCAGTATTCAGAAAGCTGAATTCTTGCCTACCTGGTGCCACATCTCTTTCATATAGATCTGTTAGGCTTTGGCTATAGGTGGTGTGAATGTGCTGCAGTGAAGTTTATCTCCCCTTAAGCACTGCATTCAGCTCTTGGGCCCTCAGCACAAGAAGGATATGGAGCTGTTAGAACAGGTCTAGAGGTGGCAACAAGGATGCTCGAAAGGCTGGAACGCCTCTCCAATCAAGGCAGACTGAGGGAAGTGGGGTCATTCAGTGTGGAGAAGAGGAGGTGCCAGGGAGACTATGGTTGCCTTCCAGTACCTAAAGGGGCCTGTAGGAAAGCTGTGGAAAGACACTTTATCAGGGATTGTAGTGACAGGACAAGAGGTAATGGCTTTAAATGAAAAGAGGGCAACTTTAAATTATATGTTAGGAAGAAATTCTTCACAATGAGGATGGTGAGGTAATGGAACATCTTGCCCAGAGTAGCTGTGGGTGCCCCATTGTCTGACCATGGAAAAACAGATACAAAAACAGCCACTTCTCTCTTATGCTGCCAACTTTCTGATTCTTTGTAGGTAACATTTTGTAGTGGTGAGCATAAAAATGTGAGGATCTCCAAGGAACATGATCAAATGACTGATGGAAAAACAGGGTTTTTTTTTCAGTTTGAAAACTTAAATCAGTATTTTCAGTTCAAGCTGAGCAACATATGCACAGTAAAAGGCATGTTTTGTTTCAGAACATTGCTGCCTAAGATAAAGCTTTTACTTCCCAAATTAAAATATAATGTAATAGAATATAAATTGATATAAATATACTTATTCTGTAAGCCAGATAGCAAAGATTTCCCTCAGTGAGGCGAGTGGACAGTTTCAAAATAAAGAATGAAAATTGTGACATCTGCAAAAAGTTCTAAGTAAAGCTAATGTGAATTTTATTAAAAAA